CTACATATATGCAGTTAGACACTTTCTGTCACCAATTTGAGAAATTTGGTTCCTTCATTGTTGTTGCACTGCTGCAGGTTGGTGCTGGAGACCCATACTCTGTTGTTTTTCATCTTCCTGGCGAGATTAGCCATATTCGTCTTGGTAAATCTACTGATATCAGCAGGGCTATGGAAGTCAGTTCTGACTCGGATGTATGCATATCTGAAGAACTTTTAGTTGTCCTTATGAGAATTCTAATGAAATATCTGATGGATGATTCAGTGAAAATTGTTGATATGGCATCACAAACTCTTCGTGTAAGTCATCCAACTTACAATGGGTCTTTGATGAAACTCAACAATTTTCATTATTTTTCTTTATTATTTTCTTTCTCTGGTGCTATAGATATCTGTATTAATTTTGGCAAAATTGATAGTGAATTTCATGTGATATTTGATCCTTTTTTTTTTATTGAATAACTTCTGTTGTATTGAAATTTATTCATTTTATTTTTATTGGTCTGAATCTGAAAGTTAATTATTTAATAAGTCATATTTATAAAAATGGATTGAGGTGTTTAATATTGTCATCCTTTTTGGAGTTGAGTCTTTTTTCCAATCAATAAAATTTAGATGCTGCGCATTTTTATTGCTTCTTATTTAAATAATTGCACGTGGTTTGGATTTGCAGGGAATACTTTCAACTGAAAGAGGCCAAAGTGCTTTACAGTCATTTGATTCATATCAGAAGTCTCTAATTGAGGTAATAGTTTAATCTGTGCAGAAAAGCGCATTAATTTTCTTTTATTAAATTTCAGGTTAAAATCTGTAAATCAGAATACAGGAAATTCTTTAATATTACTTTCATGTTGGGTTTTCTAGCTTTTTCATTAGTTGAAAGTTTCTATGTTATTAATTTGCTAAACAAGTTGGTATATGGGAGTGAGTTTGATATTTTGAATTAGTTTGAATTATCCTTTGTGATTTGAACTCTTGCTTTTAACATGACACATGGATCAATGATATCTGTGTGATGAGAGAAAATTAAAAAAAAAAGCTATGAAGGCTTGAAATTCACTAGTTTCTGAGTACTGTTTAACGTACAACTAGATTTTTCCATCTGGTGTCCACCTAGCTCACGTGGTTAATCACGTATTTAAAAATGGTTAATTTTGTTTTATAAGTAGTTACAAGTAAATGTGTTTATATACAATTATCAATCTGTATTTAGTAATATTATGGGGTTATTGAAGATCTAATAATAGTAATTTTACGTCATTAGTGGTTGTTAATGGTGTCATAAGATTATTGACCATCATACGTGGATAACTACAGGTGTAAATATGTTTAACTTTGTCTTATGAGTGGTGAAGAGTTGATACAAGAGGGGAAAACTTCTAACGCAATCTAAATCTGTAATTATTTAATCTTAAAAATGTAATTCACACATGGTTCAATACTGTTTACAATATATATAGACATAGGTGCTGAAGATAAAATCTGTTATCTAGTTATTTTCAAGTTTCTGTAACTGTTGTAACGATTATTGTCTCTAGTAATTGATCATTTTGTTCAATAGATAGTTTGGGTTTCAAAAATTGAACATTTTAGATGATTACATGCCCTCATGATCGATTATTCCAGAGACACGTGATTTTTTTTAAGTAAACCTTTTAAAGTCTTGTAATCAATTATCTCATGTGATAATCAATTACCCTGTTCTTGAGTTATGGAATTAGAACAAGAACAATAGTGGATTACACAATCTCGCAATGTATTACAACAGACTTCAAAACATAGTTTTTAAACTTTGAAAAAATCCCTTTTCAATTCCTTTTCTTTCAAATATCTATTTAACTTGTTTCATGAAAGGAATCGAATATAAATCAATTTTTCACGCTTGATTCATTTTAATTTGGAAAAACATTTCAATTAGTTATTAATTGATTAATTTTCATCGCTCATGTATATGTATTCTCAATTAGCCTAGTGTAAGCCTAATGCCTTTTTGGATGAGAAGTGATATAGAAAGGAAAGAACTAGGAATGACAGAAAGAGGAGAAATAGGAATGAAAAAAGTTATGTTGTTTGGATGGATAGAAATAAGAAGGAAGGATGTGAAAGAATTTCTGTGCTTGTTTGGATGCATGGAAAAGAGAGAAAATAAATATATGAATTATATAAAAATATATTTCAATAGTTAAAAATTCAACTTTTAACATAATATTTTTTTATTAACAAAATTATTTGTTATTTAATTTTTTCATATAATTTTTTTTATAAAAAGTTAAATAAAAAAAGGAAAAGAAAGAGATAATTTCCCCTCCCATTGCACTCTAATTTGGAGGGGAAATGTTTTTCGGTGGATACTGCAAAAATAACTTCCTTTGTATTTCGCTCCTCTAACACTGAAAATTTACTGTTTTTATTTTGTCTCCTTCTGTATTTCCTTTTACTTTATTTCCCTCCAAACTAACAAATGGTAAGAAAACTAATAACATTCAGGACACACCACTATCAAACTGAAAACAAACTTTACAACACACCATCACATCAAGTGTGAGGCAATCATCAAAACTACATAAACACTTCAAGACTTCATCATCGTTGAACTTTCTTCACAAAATGTGTTATATGAAATAAGCCGAATACAGTTTCAAGAAATGCTTATTTAGGAAATATTTGGGATTGTTTGGTTTAAGATGTTTTCTATTTTCATTTTTTGTTTTCACTTTTAACTATGAAATTGTTACCTTGTTGTTTTGTTTCAATATAGTCAAACTATTATAACAGGCAATAATAGAAATATAGAGAGAAGTTGAGAGAGGGAAAGAAAAAATATTTCTGAAATGTAAAATATGTTTTCTACTAACTTAATAGAGAGTACAAACAAGTAGTGTTTATAGAGCCAACAACTTCTAATAAAAGGTGTTGGGCTGTAACAGCTATTGGCCTATAATGGAAAATTATATTAAAAAAGAACTATGTAAATATTTTTGTATTTAATAATGGCATACTTATATTAATTGACAAATAATGCTGAAATTTTATAATGAAAATAAAATATATAAACTTAAATGACCAAATTTTTTAGCCAAATTCTGTGCTTTGCATGGGTGACAAAGTTAGTTTGATTAGAAAATCCAACAATACAGAAGTGCAGGGTCCAAAAAGGTTGGGTGACTATGAAACTTTGATGTAATAGAATGTGAAATATGTTGATGTTTTTCCTAAATGTATAAAGGGGATGCGACTATTTATATAGTTGCTATTGAGTACAAGGGAAGCTACTCTAGCCTCTAGAGTTCAGCAGAAGGAATACATGACACATGTGACTTGTCAGCTAGATAACTAACTAACTGACAGCTAACCACTAACAGTGACAGCAGTCACTTATACAAGAGAAAATACGGAGTAAATTTCTATACTCTAATTTGATGAAATAGTGATAACTAATAAATCTTGAAAATACATGTGTAAGTATTGGAGTGGCATGCTTGCCTTTTATTTTTTATATTTACTTGTAACTGAGTTAAGAAGTGCAAGCATGTGCTTCACTATTTATGCTTTGAACTAGTTTCTCTTATTATAAGTTTTGTTGTCTACTAATGCAGGTGCATTCCAAAGGTGTCAACATTGAACTAGTAGAAAATCTCCTTATGGATCAAGAAAGGAAGTCGAAAGGTATGTTAGTTGGTTTATGCACATCCGTGTTATTGGGAATGTCTGTAGAACTGATTTGATCCGTGTTAATGTTCTGGTACATCAATCTAATAGTTCAATTCAACGTTGTGGTGGGATTGATTCTAATGGTTTTATCCTTTTCATTTTTTTTTTCTTTCAACCCTGATATTGATAGCTATATGAGGTAAAGTCTTTGAGATTTAGTTCTTTCCAAGCCTTATGAAGATAGAGACAGCTAGCTGGTTTCCCAACATTGCTCCTTGCGATAGTGGTGCAAGCCACAATTTTGTCTCCAAGGCAAGTGGAATGGGTTAGTGATCTGATTGGGAGAATTAAATTGCAAGTACATGCCTTTGGTTTCCCAAGGCAAGTGGAATGTGTTACACCCTTTCCACAAGAGTCTTGTATAAGTCTGTTTATGAAAATGAGATTATGGCCTTATTCTTGGCAGTGCAGCATTGGGAGTATTAACAGATAGGAAGACCTTTGACGTGTTTACTGATCCTAGGAGTCTCAAACATCTCCAAGTGTCAAAATATATTTTAGGAAGTTTTAGATATTATTCCTACTGTATTTTAATTCTGTATATTTGCTGTATCTTGCTATTATTATTACAATAACAATCCCACAGTTATAGGGATTTGTTCCCCAGAATAGGTTGTCCTTATTTCCCAAAATAGGCAACAGACTCATGTATATATATATATATATATATCTGATGTATCTCATGATTAAAATAATAAGATATTATTTCTTCTAAATTTGAGATGGTATCAGAGCTCCTGATCCTTGGGTCCTCTGATTGTGATCTGATTGCAGCCTTCATTGCTGCACAACCCTAGAATTTCATCGTAGCCTTCATTGTTGCACAACCCTAGAATTCCATCGCAGCCTTCATTGCTGTGTAATCCCAAACACTCATCACAACTTCTATTGCTGTGTGCTTCCCTACTGTTCTTGAATCGATCTTCTTTTCTGTGCCTTAATTGCACATATTTGTAATGGTTGAAATGGAAAATGGAGACAAGTTCCAGAATACGGGTGAGCTGCAGAATGTCCATTCAGCCTATCGATTGAATGAAAAAAATTATCTCAAATGGTCTCAACTCATTAAGACCATCCTGAAAGGGAAAGGAAAGGTCAGCCATCTAATTGATGATGCCCCTGTTGACGAAGATGCCAAATTCAAGTCATGGGATGAAGAAGACTCCATGATTATGGCATGGCTATGGAACTCAATGGTTCTGGAAATCAACGATACATGCATGTTCCTTAATTCTATGAAGGCAATATGGATTACAGTAGAGCAAACCTACTCTAAGGCAAAGGATGCTGCCCAGATTTATTAGGTGAAGGTAAAAACTATGGTAGCCAAACAGGGCACTAAAACTGTCATTGAATATGCTAATCAACTCAAATCATTATGGATGGAATTGGATCATTACAGGGTTATAAAGGCCCAGTGTTCTCAGGATTCAACAATTCTAAGGGATTACATTGAACATGACCGGGTGTATGACTTCTTGGTAGGCCTAAACCAAGAATATGATCAAGTCAGGATCCAAATATTGGGAAAGGAGAAGGTTCCTAGACTTAATGAAGTAGTGGCAATTGTTCGGAGCAAGGAAAGTAGAAGAAGTCTAATGCTAGAGACCCTAATTGTGGATAGTTCAGCTATGATTGTTGAAGGAGCAACAACCATGGTTGCGGAACAAAAGAAAGTAGGCCTTCTTCCAAATCTGGAGAAGAAAAATGAAGGAGTATGGTGCACCTATTGCAACAAGCCACGCCACACAAGGGACAAATGTTGGAAGTTGCATGGAAAACCTCAAAGCAAGGATTGGGGACACAAAGGAGGCCCTCCAACTCAACCATGAGGAGTTAGAGAGAGTAAGATCCTTTCTTAGTTAATTGGAGAAACCCACAAGTACGTGTTCATTGACATACTATGGTAAGTTCCCATTTTCTTGTGGATTTAATGTCTCAAATACACCCTTTATTAGAGAATAGAATAATAAACACCTTTATCTCTCTCATATCTCTCTCTCTCATACCCTTTACCCATTATTGGATTCTAGACTCTGGCGCCACAGACCATATGACACCACTCCCTAAACACTTCTCAACATATTCCCTATGTCCCAATAACAAGAAAATTTCCACAGCGGATGGAACCCTTATAACTGCAGCTGGACAAAGAGATGTCCAAATAACCCCAACCATAATACTAAAAAATGTTCTTCATGTCCCTAAATTGTCCACAAATCTGATATCTATCCAAAAACTTACAAAGGACCTCGTATGTAATGTGATATTTCATAGCAACTCTTGTATATTGCAGGAGACGAAATTGGGGAGGACGATTGGACATGCTAGAGAATGGAATGACCTTTATTACATGGAAGAACTGAATCTGCCCATTGAGAGTCACTCTCTGATATCCAAGTCCGCCATAACCTACAAAGAAAAAGTTCAGTTGACTCATTGTCGTTTGGGACATCCTTCACTTCGGGTCATAAAGTTACTGTTCCCTTCCTTGTTTAAAAATTTAAATCTGGAGAGTCTTCATTGTGAGGTGTGTGAGCTTGCCAAACACAAGTGTGTACCTTTTCCTACTACCAAATCTGTCATTTGGACCAGAAATCGGAAAAAATACTGTTGGACCAGAAATTCAAAAGAATATAACACTATATGTGAAGTTGAAGCTGAAGAGGAATAAGTAGAGGTGAATCAAATTCCTACACTTGCAGGATCAGCAGCTGATGCAGGAACAACTAGACCACATGATGATACAAAACTTGGGAAAAATCTGGTGTACACACGAAGAGGAAAGGCCATTCCAAGATCTTCTCATGTCCAAGAATCCAACCCTATATCATTACATGAGGTAAATCCTTTTGATCCTATAAATTCTAATTCTACTAATTGTGATGAATTTCCTTTTGAAAAATCAGCTGCACAGGTGGACCATAACTTGGACCTCCCAATTGCCCTTATAGAAAAGGAACCAGAACCTGCACCAAACAACAACCTCCCCCCCTTGAAAAATAACCTACCCTTTGAAAAATTCTCACCTACCCATAAAACCTTTCTCACAAGCCTAAATACCACAACTACACCTTCTTCTGTATCTGAGGCATTAATTGATAGAAAATGCAAACAAGCCATGGAATTGGAGATGGAGGCATTGGAGAAAAACAATACTTGGAAGCTAGTCACCCTACCACCTGGAAAAAAACCTGTTGGGTGCAAGTGGGTTTATACAGTGAAATACTGGGCTGATGGGACGATTGAGAGGTATAAGGCGAGGTTGGTGGCTAAAGGGTTCACTCAAACATATGGAGTGGATTACTTGGAGACTTTTGCACCAGTTGCCAAAATGAACACAGTCAAAGTAATTTTGTCATTGGTAGCAAACCACGATTGGGACTTGTAACAATTTGATGTAAAAAATGCATTCCTACATGGGGATCTTGAAGAAGAAATATACATGGAGGTACCACCCGGGTATACAAGGCAGATTGAGGCCAACATAGTTTGTAAGCTAAAAAAGGCATTATACGGGTCGAAACAATCACCTAGAGCATGGTTTGGGAGATTCACCAAAGTCATGACAAGCCTTAAATACAAATTGAGCCAAGGGGACCACGCTTTATTTATCAAGCATTCTGATTTAGGGGGACTAACTGTACTATTGGTCTATGTGGATGATATCATTGTCACTGGGAATGATAAAAAGGAACAACACAGGTTGAGTCAATGTCTTGGCAAGGAATTCGAAATCAATACCTTAGGGAAGCTAAAATATTTTTGGGGATTGAAGTAGCCCATTCCAAGAAAGGGATCTTCATATCTCAACAAAAATATATTATCGACTTGCTAAAGGAAACTGGTAAGACAGCCTGCAAACCAACAAGCACACCAATCGACCCAAATATAAAGTTTGATATAGTTTTTTGATAAGATATTCTCTCAATGAAATAATTCTTAAAAACAATATGAAACTGGAAATAATTCAAATAAACTAGAATACTATTTATTCATAAATCTGTCTTGAGACTAAAATTTGTAACAGTTTCTAGCTAAACTAATAAGAACGTTGGGAGAACCACATCACAAAAGTTAGCCATTGTAGTTGGAGAACCCAAGGCCTTTACAAAGTATAAACTGCACACTAGAATCCCATCCTTTTGATGTGGGACTCAAGTTGTATACCTTGCAATTAGATATTAACATCTTCACAGCCCTGTTACCCACTCAGGCAATCCTTACACTGTCCCCTTGGCTAGTCCTAGGTGAAAATTGCAATGTTTATGTCACCTCTTGTGCTATTCAGTTGCAACTAAGAGGCATGGTGGAAAGCTTTGATATCTAATTGAAAAAAGACTTTGGGAGAATCACACCATAAAAGCTAGCCTTGTAGTTGTAGAGCCCAAGACCCTTATAAACCTCACACTAGAATCCCATACTTTCAATGTGGGATTCAAGTCCCATACCTTGTGTAGAAATATTTTTTCTCTATTTTATTCTGATAATAACAGCTAGTAAGACAAACTTAAATAGGAAAAACAAAGGGAGACAAATGCCTTAAAGGGAATTAGAATCCCATAAAACAGGAAAGAAATAAGAAAGGAAGGTGAATCCATAATTCAGGATTTTATATGGCTGATTTATTTAGAATAATAAAATCCAAATATTCCTAATTTATCTCCCTAAATTATTCAGATCAATAAAATCCAAACATTCCTAGTTTATCCACACCTTACAATTGGATTGTATCTTAATATAGACCCAAGAAGATGATGTAATCAGGTAGGCTAAGAAGCAACTAGCAAAGTGGAAATATTACACGTGAGAATAATCTTTAGACAATTTGGTACTTTGAAACCAAAATCAGAAAATTCTTCTTTCAGACTTCTTTTGTTCTTGTGGTCATTAGCCCTTTTTATGTAATTACAATATTAACTGTTTTTCTGCTAATCTTAAATTTTTTCAGCTGAAGCAATTTCATTGGAGAAGTCCACTGTGTGGGAGACAGATGGTAAAACTTTTGAGATCTGGATTTGTCCGTTGGTGTATTCACTTATTGTGTACTGCAATGACATTATCCTAAGGTATTGTGGACGTATGTAACTACTTCAATGATCATTAGTTGTTAGCATTAGCAACTAGCAGACCTTTATCAGGTTTTCTTTTTCTCTTCCTTTTTCATGTCTCATTTCTCTAGCTTATTGTAACTCCAGGTTGTGTCAAGATATTATATTGTTTAAAGGTGAAGTTGCAGAGCTTCTTTTGCCAAGTATTTTTGTCAATATATCTGCAAGGAAGGATCTGGAGATCGATCTTCACAAATTAATCTGTCTGCAGGTTGTATTCTAGAGATGGACAGGCCCCTCCTCCCTTTCTTATTTTCTTTCAAGAGCTTTGGTCATTTTGATATTATATTGAAATGATTATGATCTAGTGTTGATTGTACTACCACCTACATTAGTGGACTAAAGTTAATAAGCCTATTATTTAATTGATATGAATATGCATACTTTCTGCATAAAATTCAAGTAAGTTTTGTCTTTTGCAAATAAAAATGTGGACTTGTTGAATTTTGCAGTTGAAGGAGCATATATTTGTAGAGTCGAATAAGTTGATGAAATCCATTCAAGTGGTTTTGAATTGTCTTAATGAACTTCGAATTCGTCATGTCATGGAGAGATCTTCATTTGTGCCGTCAAGGCGTGATGTGTCAAAGGTGATTAAACTGATTTGATATGGCATATTGATTTTTTTTTGGTCGGTAAAAGATAGTACACACACATATATTAGAAGGGATCCATTTATTCCAAGATTCAATAACTCATCCTCTACATTGAATTTTAACAATCAAACTTTTGAATTAAGAATTCTTAATGAATAGTCAAAGTCTGCAATTATTTAAAAAAATAAAAAATCATATGATACTTTGTTATATAGATTCAAATCAATGTATAATATCCTTTTATGGTTATCCATCAATTTGAATTTATAAAACAAAATATAATAATTTTCAAGTTTTTTAAAAATTTGCAAACTAGATCTATGTACTAAGAACTTGTAATTAAACTATTGGATTGTTGAAATTTAATGTAAAACATGAGTTATTGAATAGAGTAAGTCTACCAAGACTTATTCTTGGAGTAAGTGAATTCCTCCTATATATATATATATTATTGACTACTGAATATACTTTTATTTAATTGTAAATTGGGTAGTTAAGATGAAAATCAGGGTCACTCTAATTTGATTTTATTCTCTTTTACTATAGGACTTTTAATCAGAGATGGGATCAATTTTAGATTAATCAAATGTGATTTGATTCTCCTTTATTTCTTCTCCTTATCTTATCTTTACATTTATTTTGTAATTAGCGTGACCCTTTTAATGATCTATGATAGGCGGGACTTGGATTTTTCCCAATACACCCCCTTACACCCAATACTTTTGGGTCTGGTGCGTATATTGATAGTGAGTGGCCTATTTAGAGCGGATCCAAATAGCTCTAATACTATCTTAGATTGTAGGTTTGGGCCTAATTCAACCTTATAAAATTAGCTTGTAAGGTGGGGTTTGTCCCTCAATTATATATTCTTTAATTGTTGTATTTCTAGTCGATGTGGGACTTAAATTTTTCCTAATTGCAACGAACAAAAATAGAAATTTCAAAAGATATATAGGCTGCTTTGAGGGTTCCTGAGTGGAAAGAAGCTATCTTGGAGGAGATGAAAGCCCTAGAGAAGAATTAGACTTGGAAAAAAGTGGACTTGCCTAGAAGAATGACAATTGTTGGGTGTAAATGGGTGTTTACCATCAAGTATAAGGCAAGGGAATTTATTGAGAGACACAAAGCCAGGTTAGTTGCTAAAGGCTTTACTCAAGCTTATGGTGTTGATTACTCAAAAACTTTTGCTCCTGTTGCAATGTTAAACACCATTGTAGTTCTTTTGTCATTAGCTGCACTTGAATCTGAATAATTTTCATGTTATTGAATTGATGGATACAATAAAATAAATAGGCATAAAACATAATCAATCCCTAAAGTTTAGGGATTTAGATAAAACTAACTAAGGAAACTAAACTAGAAATTAGGAGAGGATAAACTAGTATATCTAAACTATATCTTATAGAATTATCTTAACACTCCCCCTCAAACTGGAGCATATATATCATATGCATCTAGCTTGTTACATATATATGTTATCCTAGGACCTCGTAAAGATTTAGTAAAGATATCTGCAAGTTGATCCTTGGAGCAAACTGAGG